AGTCTCAGCCTCAGGACGAAGAGGAAGCGGGACGAGGATACAGATCTTCCCTCAAGCAAGCAGCGAAGGCTGTGAGGAGCAGGACTTAGCGAGGTGCGGACTGAGGACGGGAGAGACGATGAGGTGCAAGAATGGCACGAGAGCTGGAGTCTGTCTCACAGATGATGTTCTGTATTTGTATCTTTTTTGTGTGGTGCGGCGCCGAATCTCGAGTACGTATTCGCTGTAATTGTATCGCCAAATGATGTGGAATGTATATCGAATGGACTCACCTGTTATCTGGAGCGTCAGCGTGTGGCCTCTCAGCGATGTTGACAAGAGGGCGCCACCGGTTACGAGACTGAGGGAGACACCAGCGGCACCAAGAGCGAGGAGGACGGCCCTGTAAATGAGGCGTAAGTTCATAGTTCGGCTGAATGGGTCGCAGGCTACTTACGCCACAGTCCTATCTAGAGCACCTATCCTAGTACATCTGCCATGTACCGTCATTCACGAATCCGTACCATACCGAATCCGTGGGTTTCTGGAGCGCATTCCCGGTGATGTCTGAGCCGACCTTATATATTACTCGAGCGACGAAATCGACGGCGACAAGGAGGAAGAGGAGGATTAATACATTGGGTAAGTGCCGGTGCCGACTATATGCAGTTGAAACCACTCACCTATGTCGAATACACCACAGGTCAGTCGACTCAGATGGGTACGCTGCCGACGACGATGTGGGCGATGACTTGAACTACGAGGACGACTCCGGATCCGACTCGAATAGTGANTGAAACACCACTGGACAGAGCCGCTCGGTGAGTATTCATTGCTGGTATGTATGCAACTTGCAGCTCACCCATTCGACAGCCTCTTCGCCACTCAGGAACAGCGTGACCAACAGTTCGCTCAACTTGCTTTCGTCAACGCTGTTGATCGCCGCCTGCGAGCGCTGCAGGCAATGACCGGAGGCGAACGGCGAATCAGAAGGGAGACAGACTCAGAGATATTCACTGTCGCTGGGTCTGGCTCAACACAACCAACAGTAAATATCACGGAGGCGGTCCCTCCAACACCAGCCAACCGTGCCCCAGAGCACGTGCGACGCGGTGATGCCGAGTCATCGGCCACCAGGACGGAAGGGGACAGTCCCAGCCTCGGGACGAAGAGGAAGCGGGACGACGACGCAGACCTTCCCTCAAGCAAGCAGCGCAGGCTGTGAAGAGTCGAGTCAGCGGGATAGTGTTGTGGACGGAGAGACGATGAGGAGTAGGAATGACACAAAAGCCGGTGCTCGGTTTCGCAAAGTTTTGTACGTGTATCTTCTCCTGTGGTTCGGTGCGGAATCTCGAGCACGTATTTGCTGCACATGTATCATCCAATGACATGCAATGTATAACTAATGGACTCACCTATGATCTGGAACGTCACCGAAACGAGGGTGTGAAAGCGTATTGGGAAGACCTTGGTCTTTCAGAAAGGCGTGGAGTCATTCGTCCAATTTTCAAGATAGAAGGGCGGCGCCGCCGGAAAGCCGACAATGTATTGTATAGTATATGTCGTGCAGTGATGGGGACGAGAATGACGAGGGAAACAGTGGCGGTGACGATAGCGCAGAGGAGGACAACAGCCGCAACAGTCATTGAAGAAAGCACAGCCAGTTCCGGGGCTGAGGAAGACGACGCTGTAAAGGAGGCATAATTTTGGAGTCCCGTTGAATGGGCTGCAGCTACTCACGCCACAGTCGTGTCCACAGAGCACCAATGCCAATACCTCTGCCATATACCGTCATTTCGGGAACCCATGCCATACCGAGGTCCATGGGGTTCTGGAGCGTACTCTGGGAAATATGTGGGTCAACCTTGATTATTAACTGGTCGAAGAGGAAGAGGACGATGGACACAAGGTAAGTGCCGGTGTTGGCTATGTCTTCGAAACCACTCACCTACAAATATACGATAGGTCTGTCGAACCAGATGGCTGCATCACCGACGACGATGTGGATGATGACTTGATCTACGTGGATGCCGAATCCGAGTCGGACGGCGACTTAGGTAGTGATGATTTGGATGGCGAGGCGGGCACTAAGTCGATGCACGCTGGCACTCCGACGACTGTGAATGGAGCGCCGCTGACCCGCTGATAAAAGTTGCTCGGTAAGTGTGAGTTATTGCTGTGTATGCAATTTGTATCTCACCCATTCGACAGCCTCTTTATCTCCTGGAAAGAGCGTCGTGACCAAGTGTCCTCCTCGACGCTGCCGCCCAGCGCCGGATGGTCTTACAAACACACATAACCGCCGAAAGCACAGGTCAGCCAGAACAATCCGACTCATGGATACCCCCTCTCGGTGGGCCTGGTTTGAACCAACCAACCATCGATATCACGGAGGCCGTTCATCCTACGCCAGCTCTCCAACACGCGCAGAGTGGTGGCGCCAAACCATCGAGACCAAGGAGTCCATTTCGAGTCCCAGCAGCAGCGAAGGCGGTGGGGAGTATAGTCCGGCGAGATAATGTGGTGGGTCGGAAGCGTGAAAGATGATGAGATGGGTGACTGGTTTCACAGATGATGTATATCTTCTCGGTGCCAAATCGAGCACGAGTTTGCTGTAATTGTATCACCAATGATGTGTGGTGTACAACGAACGAGTGCACTCACCTCTGTTATCTCTGCCGTCATTCGTGTAGCGTCTCGCCGATCCTGCGCTGATTTGATGAAAACGGAAAGTGGCCGAGGGAGGGCCCGGGGCATCTTGGAAAAGATCTTTGTCTTTCGGCTAGATCACGCGTAGGCGTTCGGCCAGGGTCGTCCAATGTTCAAGATGCACCAAGTATTTCGGTGACTCGGAGTTGTCGTACACGATGAGGGAAAATCTGCGGGTATGGTATGGCACAAAGTGGCAGTGTCGCGCTGAGGTCAATCCAGTCAGCATACGTGGCCCGGCAAGCGAGACAGAAACATGTCACAGACCAACTGTTTGTTGAACTTTGTGTCTCGGTCGCTCCGGACTCTTTGCCTATGGACTTAGTACGGACATCTTTTATNAGGTCAGTCGACTCAGATGGGTACGCTGCCGACGACGATGTGGGCGATGACTTGAACTACGAGGACGACTCCGGATCCGACTCGAATAGTGAGTCGGACGGTGACTCGGGTAGTGATGATTCGGACGGTGAGGCGAACACTAAGTCGGATGCACCCAAACCCCCAGCGGGAGCGGGCACTCCGACGACTGTGGATGGAACACCATTGAACAGAATTTCTCGGTGAGTGTGCGTGATCGCTGGATATGCGATTTGTAACTCACCCACTTAACAGCCTCTTTCCCGCCTGGAAACAGCACCGTTCCCAGCGTGTCTTGCTCCACACTCTCGTCCAGTGCCTGACGGTTTTGCATGGGCAAACAACAGCCGGAAGCAAAGGTCAGCCAGGAGAATACGACTGGGGAATGTCCCCTGTCGTTGGGTCTGGTTCGACACAACAAACAAGAAATACCACGGAGGCGGTCCCTCCTCGCCGTGCCCCAGGGCACGCGCAGCATGACGACGCCGAGCCATCGGCAACTGGTACCGACGAAGAGCCTGGCCCCGGCTCCACGACGAAGAGAAAGCGGGGCGCAGGCGCAGACTTTCCACCAAGCAAGCAGCGAAGGCTGTGAAGAGTAGAGTGCAACGAGATAATATGGCGGATCGGAAATGTGAGAGATGATGAGGTGCGGGAATAAGGGAAGAGCTTGGAGGTTGTTTTCGCGGATGATTTATATCTTCTCGATGTAGCGGGAAGCCAAATTTCAGGCACGAATTAGTTGTACTTGTATCATCAGTGATGTGTAGTGTATGACGAATCAACGGACTCACCTTTGTTATCCCATGCGGCATCGTGTAACGTCTCGAGAATGTTTGTGCTGATTTGACGCAGATGGAAGGTTGCATCCGATACAGCGTTGCCAGAAAACGAGGGTGGAGGGGCATCTTAGGAAAGACCTTTGTATTTCGGTAAGATCATGTGGAGTCCTTCGGCCAAGGTCATCCGATGTTCAAGATAGCAGCACTGAAAAGAGCACAATTTCTTGTCTAGCAAGGGATCCGGTGATTGTTGTCCGCGATGAGGAAGATTAGCAGGAATGGCGCAGTGGTTGTCTGGTGCGTCGAAGTTAATTCAATCGGCGTACGTGGCGCGGCAAGCGATACGAAAAACGGGACACACTACCTGTTTGGACATTAAAATAGGCTCTGTATTGTAAAATCTGTCTCCTAGTGGGTAGATGGGTAGAGGTGCAGGGAACGCGCTGGAATGCGAGCTGGTGCGCTCGAAAGCGTATGACAAGCCTGGCAAGTCTTAGCGCCCGCGGTGGTGGCCTCTAGCGATCAAATCTTCCAAAACAAGCTTCTGACTCTATGTTCCTAGCCTCAAAATCAAGAGAGACTTCTTCTACAAAACCCGTTGTTCCAATGATTTGCTACAACAACTTGTGATTGAATCGAGGTCGCAGGAGATGGAAAAAGGAGGTAGGTGCGCCGTACGTTCTATCTATGTTACCCAGTATCGAAGGCAACGTGAAGTCCAACGATCTACATCTGTGTCTCTAGAGAATATGAGAACATAAAAAAAAACACCAAGCTCACGCCAGACATTCTGCGGTCCGAAGACAGCCTCGGCACGCCGTATTTCTGATCAAGTAGGTCTTTGGTAAATCCTTGATCTTGTCCTTGACACCCTTTTGGCGGACGTTGTCCTTGCTGTCCTTGCTCGCCGTGCGGGGCTATATATGTGGGGAGGCTCCTCGTTCGGTATCACCACAATGAACGCCGCCGCGCACGAAACCTGCGCACGATCATGTTGCGCTTCAGCTTCTCGTTCGCGCCAGAGACCCCGGTTTTGGGCTGGTTACTGTCTTTGTAGTCGCGAAAAAAAACATTCGGAGCCCTCTTTTTTCATACACTAGGGTGCACTTGCGGACAATGAACACCCGCCATGCTTTATTTTATGACTTATAGACTCCAATACGCTTGGGTGGTGAGATGGCCGAGCGGTCTAAGGCGCCAGACTAAGGTGGTCAGCTTGACATCTGGTCCGAAAGGGCGTGGGTTCGAATCCCACTCTCATCATTTTCAACGAGAGGATCTGTTTTTTGGACTCAT